GGAGCGTGGGGGGGATTGTGCACATGTGCGGGGGGGGGGATCATGCATGCACGTACAAAGGGGGGCGGGGGGATTGTATTATGGGTGTGGGCGCGCTATCGCACCCTTGATTTCTGCAGGCAAGGGCAAAAATGTTGGCCATCACTGATTTATGGCCTAAATGAGGGGTCAGCAAACTTAAAACACTCAAAAGAGCCACAAAGGTCCTAATCGGAAGCCCCCCATTCAATTCTGGAGCCGACCGAAAGTCTGGTTCCCCCACCATAGAGTCTTCTCCTAGCACAGCGTCCTCTACCTGTCCAAATTGAAAGCCCTATCAATTGTGGAGCCAGCCAGCAAAAGGGAGCTACAGCAGATGGATGAAAGAGCCAGATGCGGCTCCAGAGCCACAGATTGCTGACCCTTGCTGTAGAGTCTCCTCCTACAATGGTGTCCTTTTTTCCTCTGCTCTCCAGTTCTCCCACCATAGAGTCTTCTCCTAGCGCGGCGCCCTCTACCTGTCCTAATCAAAAAGCCCTATCAATTGTGGAGCCGACGGGCAAAAGGGAGCCACAGCAGATGGATGAAAGAGCCATATGCGGCTCCAGAGCCACAGATTGCTGAAGCTCTATCCTAGATGACTTGAGAATCTCCATAGACATTCACATGAATTTAGCTTGGAAAATTAGGTCTTTGCATGCTTCGTTTTTCCATTTGTGCTCCCTTCACTGATGAGTTTCTATTTCATTTTCCTTTATAAAATTCACTTAGGGGTGGCTATGTAGGAGAATGTCGTGCGTTCACAATAAAGGAGGATGAAACTATGACTTTCCACCTCCTCCCAAAAATATGCAGTACAGCAAATTCCATTTGCTCTGCCCGCTGTCTTCTTAGGAGCGAAGGTTCCAAAGACCTACCCTATAATTAAGCCGTTTTATGCCGCCAGAAAACCAAGAGAGGCTTATTAAATGCAGTGGGATATCTGGCCTTTTGGGATCTCTGTAAGGGGAGTTTACAATCCCATTCCACAGAGGCTATAATATACACAATACCCCCAAATTATTACATATTGCGGTTGGCTATTTTAAAGGAAAAGGTGGCTCAGTGGCTAAGACGCTGAGCTTGTTGATCAGAAAGGTTGGCAGTTCGGCGGTTCGAATCCCTAGCGCCGCCTAACAGAGAGAGCTCCCGTGACTTGTCTAAGCTTCTGCCAACCTAGAAGTTTGAAAGCAGGTAAAAAAATGAAAGTAGAAAAATAGGGGCCACCTTTGGTGGGAAGGGAACAGCGTTCTGTGCGCCTTCGGGCGTTGAGTCATGCCGGCCACATGACCACGGAGAGGTCTTCGGACAGTGCTGGCTCTTTGGCTTTGAAATGGAGATGAGCACCGCCCCCTAGAGCTGGGAATGACTAGCACATAGGTGCGAGGGGAAACATTACCTATATTTTGAAGAAAAGAAGTGACCCATTGGTTTGAAAAAAGATCCACCACTAATTCTTTTTGTCTCTCTCTTCTTCACGCCGCCAGGGACATCAAGAGAATAGGCGTGCGTCTCCCAGGACACCAGAAGCGAATTGCCTACAGCCTCCTAGGATTGAAAGAACAAGTCACCACCATTGGCATTCCGATTTGAGCCGGAGAAATTGTAATCCGATTGTCGGTAGCTCCGTGGCCCTCTGCGTGGCTACCGTTCTTTGCTTGCTCTCAGCCTAGGACCATTCACAAAACAGACTTCCTGGTATATACTTGAAGTGGAGCATCAACGGGACCCCTCCTCACCAAAGATGCTGGCAGTTTAGTGCCTCTCTTCCCCACCCTCGCTTCACAGCCTCGTATTTATTGCCTGTCTTCTGAAGAATTCGTTGGAGACGCCAAGGTGGCATTTGATGGTCCAGGACAGCGCCTTATTCCTTCAAACAGAGGGGCCACGTGGCATCCTGCCAGCCTGAGAAGTCTTGCCTGGAAAGACCCTCAGGCTACTGAATGTTTGTAACCCCCCCTCCCACACAGCCCTTCTTTAGTCCCCTTTCTCCATTTTGACCCCCAAAACCCTTGACTGCAACTTGCGATCATTGGTCCACCGCTGGTGTGCCACACTCCTCTCCTGATTTTTTTCTTCTTCCTGAAACCAACGCCTGCTCCTCCTTTTCACATTCAAATATCTTAGGGCCGCGATGGTGAACCTGTGGAACGCATTCCTGAGATGGCACGCAAAGCCCTCTCTGTCGGCACATGCGCCATTGCCAGCTGTCCTTCTGGTTTCTGGCCAGCTGGTCTTCACTGGCACCAAAGCATTGGAAAGTGGCCTGAAAAACAGGCCTTTGGGGGCATTTTGGGGCTGGTTTTGGGGCCATTTGGGGCAGTGGTGGGTTTCAAATTTTTTTAGAACCTCTTCTGTGGGTGTGGCCTGCTTTGTGGGAGTGGCTTGCCAGCCATGTGACTGGGTGGGAGTGGTTTGCCGGTCATGTGACTGGGGGGGGGGGGGTTGCCGGTCATGTGACTGGGTGGGCGTGGCCAACTTGTAAAATGTGGTGGAACTCACTTAACAACACTCTTGCTTAGCAACCAAAATGTTGGCTCAGATACTCTGGCATTTGAAGCACG